TCCCGTCTTTATTTTCAGTTTGTTCATCTTGGAGTGGTGTACCAATTTCAGGTCCTCCCCTTCAGACGTGCCTCAGCTCCATACATGTTTCATCGCATCGTTTGACCTTTACTCATAATATTCATACTTTGGGGTTGTGGTTTCATCATTACATGGACAAATGGCTTCTTCTAGCTCATTCCAAGCAGGGTTTGACCAATCACACTCACCAACTTCTTTCTGTGGCAACTCGAGTGGGCATGTTGGTAAAATTGGAGAAGTCGGTTCTTCAACCCACCCAATACTTAGTGCATTTGGGGGGGTCTTCTTCGACACCAACACAAGTTGAGCTCTCCCTTCTCTTTTATGTTTCAGTTCTATGGAACTTTTAGTTTACCACTGCCCTCTCAGCTCAATCACTTACTGCTCAAGAGGTTTTATCATTTTTGAGGTTGTGGTCTTCCATGGTTGCATTGGCTCCCCCTCAGTCATGCCTATATGAGATCCCTGCAGTGGACACTTCACGAACGATGGAACCTTGCATGGGATCCTCTTTCCACCACCATTTCCCTTCCTCCTTCCCTGAGAGTCGATCTGCTGTGGTGGCTCAACAAACCCCATACATTGGGGCGTGTGCCACTTTCTTTCCCACATATGGATGTCTATCTGTTCATAGACGCTTTTCTTCAGGGTTGAGGACTTTGGTTGATCACCATGAAGCTTTGGGCCATTGGTCTGCAGACAAACTCATCTTGAATATCAATGTTCTTGAACTTCTGGTGATTTGTTGAGTGTTATCTCACTTCATTTCTCTCACCCTTCAATGTCTGGTGATGGCTCATTCTGATAACTCTACAGTAGTGGCTCATATCAACCACAACATGTCATGTGCTGGGCACTTTTAATCTGGTAGCGGATCGTATTTCATGTGCGGACCAACTCTCTCCCATGGAGGGGTCATTAGATCCGATTGTTTTCAGATACCTTTGCCTCCTATGGGGTTATCCCCAATTGGATGCATTTGCCATGGGCTTCAATACAAAGTTGCTCCTCTTTTGGTCATCTGTCCTGCATCCACTATGCTCATGCATTTCTTCCAGATTCAGAGGCCTCCTAGGCATCCTCCCCTTCCGGATTGGGACATTAATGTGTCCTCCATGCCTTGACTCTACCCCCATTTGAACCACTTTCCTCATGTTTTTTATTTCATTTGTACCTTATGACCTGCTGATTTCACTGATCTGATTTATTTGCCATTTAAATTTCACATACCCTTTATTATCCTACTTATCTTCTCCTTTATCCTGATCGTTTTTCTCCCCAAGACCTTGGCAGCTCAAGAAGGTTGTTTCTCCATTTCTCCTATTTCCCAACCTTCTATCTCCCATCTTTACCCTTGTACGGCCACTGATAGACTGCTGTGTTCTGTCAGGGCCCTAAAGCGTTATATTGCATGTACAGCTACCCTCCGGGGTATACACAACCATCTTTTCATTCCCTGGCAATCCTTCTCCCTTCATGATCTTTCCCCTTCTACCCTTACGAATTGGATCCATCTTCTGGTCTGTTTGGCCTACTCCTCTCTACCCTCTTCCTCCAGTACTTTGTTCCATGTGTCCTCCCATCAAATTCGTCATTTTACATTTTCCCTTGCTACCTGTCTTCGTTGTCTATTGGAGGAGATTCTTCAAGCTGGCATGTGGATCATGCCCATTATCTTTATCACGTCGTGCTTTCCTTCATGTCAGGGTTTCGTCTTCCACCTGTGGCCATGATCTAGACTTCAGTGTGACTTTAACTGGTAAGTTTTCTTTGTCCTCTTTTTCAGGGGCCTTTCTTTATTCCCTCTTTTTCACATGGATCCTGCTCTATGGCTAGTTGTGCCTGACCAGGTATTCTTTCACTTAAAATCCACACTGTAAGCCATGTTGACTTATGCTCTCTCGTCCATGGCTCCACGTGGTCACCATAGAGATGGGGTATTCCACAAGATCGCTGGAAGGTTATCTACCTCGCAATAGTTGCTTCATAAATATGTCTGTTCTGAACCGTACCACCCATGGTAGAGCAGAAGGGGATATCTGCCCATCCCTGCCATGCCTTGAGTGAATAACCCAGTATTGTCTGCTTTTCAAAATTGCACTGTCTCCAGTGGTGACATTCCTCCAGACTCTCCAATGCATTATCATCCCCCCTTCTTTGAGTGGAGTGTGGGAGTCCTTGACACTTTCCAGTTCCAAGCCTTTGGGGTGGTTGACAATGGAGGCACCCTCCATAATGGGTTCCACTAACAAGTTGGCTATAACCATTTAGTCAAGAGTAGGGAGGTGGTGTTCTGCTGCTGTAGATGTCATGTGGCCTCCACAGGAGTTAATCCATCTCCATGCTGGTGGACATAGGCTCCTGATACTATTTACACTATCACAGAAGTTGATCCATCACCTTCCTGGATGATGTGGCCTCCTTTTACTAGTCACATATTCCACAATATTTACAACCACTGGAGTTGATCTGTCACTGAACTGGATGATGTGGCCACTTACTATTCATTTACACATACAGTTGAGTTTATCTGTTACCTAAATGGTTGACGTGGCCTCCTGTTACATATTCCATTCCACGTGGAGTTGATCCGTTGCACATGCAGTTCACCCCTTTTGATTGGGAGCCCTCATCCTACCTTTGCGTGGACGTCAGTTCTCAGTGTTGAGGTGTTGGATTCGAGCGAAACAATCAACACAAGTCATTGCACTAGTTGCATCCATCGTCTCGATGCTAGATGGCCAGTCCTGGATTGCTGTAGGGTGTTAATCCTTGTGTGGTATCCAGGAATTGGAGTGGATCTTAATCACCAATTCCTGTGTTATAGATGAAGACAGTATGATTCTCATTCTACCCTTGCATGGATGTTGGTACCCCATAGAGGAGGTTTTAAATGTAGTTGACTTCCCAAGTATGGTCCAACTTGCCCTAATCACTCTACACCTTGTGATATCCACCCGTGTGTTTTACAAATTGTACACAAGGGCGAAGAGTATACCTGGCTCAGAAGTGGTGTGATTCCCCTCCTCTGATCTCTGGATCTCTTCTGTCATTGTCAGGGGTATCCTTAGGATGCTCTTGTTATTCCCTCACACTGGTCCCTCCTCCTTCTCAATTTGGGATTCCAGCTAATATTGTGAGAAGAGATAAGTACCATAATTTTCCTATACTTATCTATTCTCACACTTCCCATCCTTCCTCCCCACTTCTCCAGTGTTCACACCTTCTGCCCAACTTTGAAGTGAGTATACTATGCTACTATTGGTTGATAGATGATGCATGATGATTTAAATGAGACACATGTTGGAATGTACTAATGCCAACAAGGGGGGAGTGCAAGGCTTATGGCATGCATAAAGAAAATGTTTGCATATGGAGGACAGCAATGAATGAGAATAGCTAATCTTGTGAGAGAGGTAAGTACCCATCAGAAATACATTTTCAGTATAGGAAAATTATAACTTTCAAATTTTTTAGAACATTTTATTTTATTATAGCCTAACTAAGCAGAACATTGAAACACAATGACAACATAAACATATATACAGACAACCAATCAGCTGTGTGTTCATTGATAATATTATTTCAGGTGCACTAAGAAACATTTTTATCATACCTGTAATATTCCTTGTTTTATAATGATTTATGTTTTATCATTGGTCATGATATATATTTTTCTATCTGAAAAAATTTAATGTGAGACATTAAGTCCTTGCATATTTAATACATTGAAAAATAAAGAAAATTTAAAGAAGAACTGGTTCTTTTTATGTTAGTTCAACAATATTTAGTTTCTTGAAACGGACATCTTCAGTTATTGATTTGGTTCAGTTTTATTTAATAATAAAACACATCTTTGACATCTAGGAGCTGTAAAGCAAACATATTTGAAAAATTATGATAAGGGTATTCAAGATTAAGTTGTGTTAATTTGCATTTTCATTAAATCTTGTTTTAAGATCTGTATGTATGTTTACACAGTTTTCATAGTTAATTGATGGATTTGTGTAGTATTCATTTTTGTATGGTTTGTTTAGTAAATCATTTATTTACAGTCCAGATTTTTGTGTGAATTTGATTCAATATCTACTTTGTGTTTTTTTGTAAGTTTGCTCTATATTCTTATAAGTTGTCTTCCACTGTTTCCTATGTATGAGATATGTGATTATTTTTCTTTCTGTATTGTTTATTTTGTATGTTGTTGGTGTATATTATTTTATCTTACTTTTTTGTTTAGTGATGTATCAGTGATTTTTTCTCAAAAATTATTTAAACTTAAACCAAGGTGAAATATAATTAATTTAATTTTCTGTTTCTTAAGGTGAACAAAAGCAGAAAGCAGTGTTGTATAAGCCTTTATTTTTCTGTCAGTTTTTTTTTTGTCTGATGTTGTGTATATTGTGTACTGATTGCAAATTGAGATAAGTTACATTGCATGTGTTTCTTCTATGTATTGTTTTGTTGACTGTGTAGCAAGGTTGTGTGATATTTATGTTTAGGAAGTTTATTTTTGCTTGTTTTTCATCTTCATTTGTGAATTTTGTTTGAATGGATGGAAGTAATGGGTTTAAAGAAGTACTTTATTCATCTTGGCTATTAAAACTTCATAATACATCATCCATATGTCTCCACCTAGTGAGGGTGTGGAAAGGCTATTTGCATTGCTTTTATTTCTGTATCAGTCATGAATAAGTTTGCTAGAGTGAGTGATAAAGGCTTTCCATGCTAAATCCATTTTGTTGAAACAGTTAATTACTGCAAAGTCAAATAAGGTTTTTAGTTGTTGATTTAAGATATGTATGGTCACATATATTAAACTTAAATCATTTCCATTGATTGTATCACTATGGTATATTATTTAAGAAGGTTTCAGAATAATTTATATATGCTTTATATATATTTATGGAGGTTTTATAATCATTCAAGTTTTAATTCGCAAACAAAATTATTTATCTACTAATATTCATGTTTATCAATAGGTAATAATTAGACCTACTCCTTTGAGCCCTAAAACTCCAGAGTGGCACAGAATGACTGTTCCTAAAAATGTCCCAGATCAAGACTTGCGTATAAAAATAGCTGTTAGAATGGACAAACCTCAAAATATGAAGCATTGTGGGTAAGTAAAAAAGTATATGAAGCATTAAACTGACATTGTGAATAATCAGTTTGGAAAAAGTTCTTGGAAGATATACATGTCTTGGTAAATTTTCTAAAACTTGATGCAGAAAAAATTATCTTATATTTAGAAAATATGAAATTAAATTCCCTTCAGTGGCTCAGTGGTAAGTCTGAAGGCTTATAATGCTAAAACTGGGTTTCGATACCCATGGTAGATACAGCACAGATTGTGTAGCTTTGTGCTTAATAGCAAGCAAACAAACAATGAAATTAAACTCTTTTAATGAAAATCGTATATATATAATTTTGTCAAAATCTTCTAAACATGTTTACATCAAATTGTAATGTTCTTAAATTTTTATATATAAATGTACGACAAAATGTACCACGATGTAAAGTAGATAATATAGTTTATTTATTAACTTGTGGTATATGTGGACTTAAATATGTAGGACAAACAACTAATCCTTTACATCTAAGGATTAACGTACATGGATCACAGTCATAAGGGTTTTCCTCATTTGATAGAAATAAATCACTTTAATAAAAATTAATTTAATTATGTAAAAATTACTATATTATAAAAAATCTACAATACAAATTTATTAACAGAAAGAAAAGAATATCATATTCTGAAAGAAAAAACTCTTTACCTTTATAGATAACTGCTGAAATTATAAATAAAGATTCCTGTATCAGAAATTTATTTCAAATAAATATTTGTAGAAATAAACAATAAAATTAGGGGTAAAGGTAAAAAAAGGAAAGAAATAGATTGATTTTGAATTTTTTTGTAAACATTTGGATTCTGTTTTTCACAGATCTGTTAATCTGGTGAAATTTATAATAAAACAAGTATTTGAATTAACAAATGCAAAACTCAAATATCTTTCAAAATATTTGTTAAACTTTGAATTTAAAAATATCCATGTTAAACTTAATTATAGATCTAATTAAATTTAGATTAAAATGGAATCGTATACCAAACCCTCTTCAGTAAAGAAAAAAAAGAAATCTTATATAGTAATTGATTTTAAACATAAAGTTTATGATGATTTATATTTACCTTCCATGATTCATAAAAGTATTCAAGAAGATATTTTTCCCATAAAGTTGTTTCAACCAATAGTCAATTTTAAATGTAATAAACCTGTAGGACCTCTTCTCTTTAACTATAAAAAAAATTAATTGAAGAATTTAATCAAATAGAAGTTGACAACTTACCTTGTAACTGTAATAATACTGTTTTTAAAGATGTCCTTCATAATCATATAGTTACAGGAAGTTTAGAAGTTGTCAAAGATAAAGATTTACAATCAATATTAAAGAAAGGTACTAAATACAGAATTTTGAAATGCACAAAAAAATGTGAAATCTTAAATACGTAGAAAAAGGTATTGATGATTATATTCTTAAAATAAGTAAACAATCCTCTTATCTGCCATGTTTTTTTTTTTGAATGGACATTATATTTTAGTAATTCCATAAAGAAACGATTAAGAACTTTAAACTTATCTCAATATAAATTAGATATTTCTTTCAATGTCTTTAAAAATAAGTTAAATTTAAAAAAAATTCGTTATTACTCCTATTGATACAGGTGGCTGTAATTTTGGTTTTGTGTGTAAAAAATTATACACACAAATTTTACTTAATGAAATTAATACCACAAGTACTTTTACTAAAAGTACTTTAGAGAAAAATAATGTTACTACTAATTTAAAAAAGGCTATTAAAAATGGAATATCCATACAGATTATTAGAGTATGAATTGAATTTACCATTTTTATATGCAATTCCAGAATTGAATAAAAATCCTGTGAAATTCAGATTTATTACTAATTACTTAAATACAGTCACTAAATCTGTTTCCATAGTACTTAACAATATTCTAGATGTTTTGTTTGAAAAAATAAAAATACAGTCTTCAAACAACCAGAATAATTATTTTTGGATTATTAAAAATAACATTCCAGTCTTGGAATGTTTAAATAATTTAAATTCTTCAAAAACTGCCAGTTCTATTTTTACATATGACTTTACTACATTGTATACTAAAATAGACCTAAAAGATTTAATCAGGGTTGTTTGATAACTTTATAAATAATGAAATAACTATACCCAAACTTACATTTACTAGAATTCAGTGTAAAAATATACTTCATTTCTGTATTTATAACAGTTACATTGTTTTTAACAAACAAGTATGTAAGCAAACGATGGGTATTCCAATGGGAATAAACTTCTCTTCAAGTATGGCAAACCTGTATCTGTTCTATTATGAAAATTCATTTAGGAAGCAGACCTTAAATCCTAAATTGTACATTTACACTTTGTTACATAGATGATATAATATCTATAAATAATATGAATTTACACCAAATCTAATATATCCAATAGAACTTGCAATAAAAAGAAGTGATAATAATAATGAGGTCCATGCTAATTATTTAGATTTGGACATTACTTTTATAGAAGGTACAGTGTAGTTGACTATTTTTGATAAAAGAAGATAATTTTCCCATTCTTGGTCTACCCACATCTAATAGCGTTATTCCCTGTATCGTTAAAAGGTATCATTATATCTCAACTAAAACTGTTCTTAATAGTCTGTAATATCTGTAATTTTTTTTATGGATAATGTTTTATCATTAAAAAATAAATTGAAAGATAATGGCTGTAAAGACAGGCAAGTAAAGAAATACCTTACTTTATTTTTTAATAAATACAAAAATATTTTAGAAACTAAACTATTGATTAAGGAAAATATCTTATAAATAAAATAAAGAGGGAGTTAGTTATTTTACCTTATAAGTAGCTAATAATAATTTTTCTAGTAATTTTATTCAGTATAACCGGGACGGAAAGAACTTAAAGTAGCTGAGCTTGTCTCAGCATTCCCGTGTTATATTTGAATAAATCTTCAGGAGGAAGGGTGGTGGTTGGGAGTTAGAACTATATAAGAACTTTTAAGTTAGGGACTATAGTTCTATTCAATATTTGATAGCTCTATGTAATATATTTTTGTAAGGGTGGAGGTTGGGAGTTTAATTAGTAGAAATATTAGGGTGGCTTTATTTCATTTCATTTCTACTTTAAGAAATTTATGGGTAACTGTTTTTCCACAACTGGTTATAGACAGTGAAAGGCATTAGAAGCTGAGACATTGTGGGTGTAAGCACTCAGCTTCATACACTTATTTGATTGATTTTTTTAAATAATATTCCATGACAGCTGACTAGATTGACATCAGCATTTTGATTATGTCAAATAGACGAGATATTCCCCCAATACATTTGGGTGCTATTACCATAGACATTATCCGTTATGACAATAAGTTGACAACCAGTACTGATAACGGAATTGCAATATATATAATATCAATCCCTAGTCTTGTTAATCATAACTTTGTTGTATTCAGATTTATTCCTTGCTAATGTTAAGAACTAAATTGTTTTTAAATTAATTAATTTATTATCATAATGCCATTTTGCATGAACTAAGTAAATCCTGTGGTATTTCGCAAGTAAAATTTATGTTGTAAACTAATCTAAAGATGTAAAGGATTAAGAACTGTGTTGGTTAAATGTTAATAAATAATATTAACTTCTGATCAAAGCAAACTATCTACATAGGTGAGAACTAAATATTTAATGTCTTATATTGAGCATAGTATAATAATTCGATTGTGTTATTTCATCCATTGGGTACTCTTGCTGTAACTGATATTTTCAATTATATCCTCAATAATATCTGACGAGGTTCGGGCAGCCCAGGAGGCTTAGGCTATTCAGAATCTATATACAAAGCTAACAATGGAGAAAGATCGATATGTATAAAACTAACTTACAAATGATACAAAATAAAGTAGATATATTAAATATTCTAACTAAAAATGCATGTGCACTGTGGTAAAAGTTTCATTTGTTTAGGCTTATTGTCCGAGTGTTTTATTTTCATTGTCAATCCACAGAATTGAACAGCCTTATCGTATTATCAGCTCCAGTGGCTCATAATTTTCATACATTTCTTTCTTTTTGGTGTTGAGAATAACCTATATGAATAACTTGCACTGCATCACGCTGCCCTGAAATGTGGTACAGAAATATTCAGTTTGAAAATTACAATGATGACTGAAGTGTATGTGAAAATATTTTTGCAAATATTTCAACATTTTCAGACCATGACATTATATACAAAATCGGCAACTGTCATATGTGACCAATACATTTAATAATTTAGGCATTGGCTATATTTACACTAGTCATAATGCAACTTCAGTGGCTATATTTACACCATTACTGTTATGCATGCACAACATGTTTTCTAGTCTCAATGTAACTGGGTGCTGTTTTAACAGTAACTGTCATGGCTTAGGTTATGCCATTATTAAATAACTTGATTTTTGCATTACAACTTGAGCCATAGTCTAGGTCTGTTGACTGCCGCACTAAAATCCCTAGACAATTCTACATTTTGAAATGTATTCTGAATTTTATGTTTTGAATATACCAGTGGACTGATAACAGGTTGGGAAGTATCAGAATTTTTGCCATGCTTGGTAGTATCCCTCATCTCTAACGTTTTTACTGTCATTGAAATTGTTTTACAAAAGGCATCAATTTTGCCACTACTATGAAATGATAAATGTTTGTGAACTTTTGTGAGTAACTGAACATATTTGTGGTTAATTCAAGTTAAAACAAATCAGTTGCATGACTGAGACCTTTTAGAACCTAGGACCAATACAAACAGTGTATTTTTTCTTGAGATAAGGAAAAGGTTTGAAGCAATAAAAGTTAACTTTAGGGTTCAATTTTCAGATATCTCTATGCACAAGGCAAGCAAGTTTGGAAAAAGTGGAAGAAAAGATATTTTGTATTAGTTCAAGTAAGTAAATTTTCCATTGTAAGACTTTAAAACTAATAAATTAGGAGTATATTGATATGAAGGTAGTATAATTTAACAAAGAAAACAGTAACATGTTCTTTGTTTTTAAAAGATAGTTAACAAGTAGTAAACAAAAGGAAGATTTCCAAAATGGCCACTTTGTCTGGTAAGCCAGTAATTAGATTGTTTTGAACAGCATTTTAGTAACAGCTACTAAATATTCTCTGTTAGCTGAATGCTTCATATGATGATAAATACATATTTATTTTGCTTCAAATAGTTTGTTCTAAATAATTGTTTTATTAACATATTTTCTAAAAAATTCATTACATTATAATAAAAAAATTTGTACATATTCTTATCCTTTTTCTAATATTCCACAAAAAAAAAACATTTTTGATGTATATTTTCTCATAACCTGTAAGTGGTCCTTGATTAGAATTTGGCTTTATGTATATTTTGCTGTTATGTTCTTATCTGCTTCTTGATAAAACCATATAGAGTTGACCATGTGAAAAAACTGGTTCTGGAAAAAATATTCCTGCATGGTCAGTTGTCTGACCCTGCAATTTGTTAATTGTGATGGCAAAGGCAAAGAATTGGAGGGTCAAGAACGAGTCCATAAAGCTATAACTTTTCATAAAAAATGCTTATGAAATTTTTAAATAAATTTTTAAAATCTTGCCAAAGGTAATAAATGCCAAGAATAACATATTGTGACATCATCTATTGTTTTGTAAAGATATTTGAATTGTGTTTCCCATAGACAGACACACTGATATTATATATATATATATATATATATGATCTTTTTGGATAAAATGTTTTTGTATCATGGGAAAAAATTCTTAGTTTTTTTATATATTTAGGCATCATATAAATTTATACTTTATTTCAATTCGTGTAAAACTATTTTGATGTGTACTTTGGCCTGTTTTTAATTTTTTCTAAATGAGAAAGTAAGTAAAACGTTTGGAAATTTTGGTACTGTTATCAATGAATTCGAGATTTTCAACATACTTTATTCTATATAAAAGTTTTTTGATTATTGAACTTTCTAGGTATCCCAGTATACATTTGCTATGTGTAGCTACAGAGAAAAGAAATCCGAACCAACAGAGATGATGCAGTTAGATGGCTACACCGTGGATTATGTAGAGCCTGTGCCAGGTAATTTTATAGCCCTTTGTCTTTTATTTTTTTCTTCCATTCTAAATTCTATTTTCAGGTCTTATTTTCAGCCAATCTTCTAATAACTTTACATCTTAACACCCTGAATTTAATCATTATTTTAAATACCATATACCTCCAAGCTAATTATTGAATCATTTTAACTTCACATTTTCACAATGCATTTCGAAATACTCTTGATATGCTATTTTTTAGATCTTTTATTTCACTGTTCTGATGTTTCTGTAGGTTCATGTTATATTTTTGTCTACCTTTTCACATTCTTTAGGTCTTCTCATGGGTAAGTATTCATAATGTCTCATGATTTTGCTATTGTTATCATAGAGATAAGTAATTGTTAAATTAATGAATAGCTGTTCACCAGTCTATGTGTAGAAAAACTTGAATGGTTAAAATTTGAAAAAAAAAAAAACTATAATTATATATAAGCAATGCTAGAAAAAGAAAAAAAAACTGAACTGTCATTCTTCTTAACTAAAGCTAGTTTACTGACAGAGCCCTTCAGTTTATCTTTTGTGTCACATTCACATGGTGGAATAATTATAATTGGTTATTTTTAGGTTTTAACTTGTAATTAAATTAACATGCTATAATTATTTGTAAGGTATATAATTTTGTAGCTTACTCTTGTCAGTCAGAATGATTATTAAAACTAAGTTATGACAGAAATAATAGTTCTGAAAAATTTCATATTTCTTTGCAAAAATATAATAGAATATGGTGTTACTTCTTTACTAGTGTAACTAGTTAACCACTTGGAAATTCATATTGTTCTTCACAAGTGTTTTATTGTTAATGTTTTATGTATTTTGAAATATTTTGGAAGAAAACTATATTTACAAAATACTGAAACAGTTATTCAGAGTTTTGTATTTTTCTAATGTGTCAATTTGAAGTTTGCATAACCAAAAGGTAAAATTTAAGTATTGAATGAATTAACCACAGTCAGTTAGTAGACAGAAGAAAAAGAAGTTGGAAAAATCTAAACACTTGTTGTTTTTTCAATTACTAGAATTGGAAGGAGGAAGATTTTTCTTTAATGCTGTGAAAGAAGGAGATAGTGTTTTGTATGCCAGTGATGATGAAAATGAATGTCATTTGTGGGTTATGGCAATGTACAGAGCAACTGGTCAGTCTCACAAACCGACTCCTTTAGTACAACCTCTTGCCAGTAAAAACTCAACCATATCTAGACTTCAAGGGGGTGAGTAATATAATAATTTGGTATAAAAAATATGTACATGTGTGTGCAATTCATTGTAATACTGATTTCAGTAATTAAGTATCATATCCAAAGGAAGTAAACATTTTTTGGAGCAGAGGTTTTCCCTGGAAAAGTAAAGCTCAAAATCCTGTTTTTCCACAAAGAAAATAAACATTCCGATAGCTTTACTTTATTTATCATAAACAATCCTTTTCTTTCCCTTAATTTATATAGGTGAATGTATTATTTTGTGTTTTCTGCTTAAAAAAATGGCAAGAGTTACTTATATTGAAAACCAATAAAAGTGTTTCTAATTTTAGAAAAATGCATATTTTTGAAATAGTTCTTACAAAAAATTATTAATGTCTTTTTAGACAC